TTGAAAGCTTAGAAGCCCAAGATTCATCCTGTGAAACCCATTTTGAAATCGGACATTGCATTCCCATGGAAATGGTACTTTAAAATCTTTTAGCGGTCTCCTCCCCCTTAGTGGGCGGTGTCAAGTGTCATATTACAAAATGCATTACGGTCTTTTAGAATCAAACCTTTTTATAATCTTGACAAAAAACATATCATTGGAAAGGTCTGATTCTCAGGATTCCATATTTGGTGGTTATTTTGAGATAGAAGTAATATTTACAGAGAAATCTAGACATTTGTGACAGAAAAATGTTTGTGGTATAACGCCCTAAATAAAATCTCACAGGAACCTCAATTTTTTTTCATATCAACTTCAAATTTGGAACATAACTTATTTAGACATAAGGCTTTAATTTTAGAGTAAAATCTGCTATGTAAAATATTTACTATATTTAAAATAAAATTAGTATAGTGCATTTCCTTTACAGTAAATTTTAATTTCTATAATTTTTGATACTTTAATTTTTTTTTTTTTTAATCTTTTGAAACACTTTTGCAACAATCTGCTGATTTTCTTCTTTAAAAAGAGACCAACCTTAGGTCTGTATTCCAAAGTGTTCATAAATTACAACAATTTAAGTTTGGATAGATGGAAAAATGGGGGGTGACAGTTAAGGGGTTAAACAGACACGATTCTCACCTTCAGGACCAGATCTGATCCAAACGCTCCCTTGGTGTCGGTGATCTGGGCTCCGGCGGCCTGGTACTGATCGTCAGAGAACTTAGCTTCGCGTCCGGCGCTGGATTCCACCTGCACCCTGAAGCCCTGTCTGACCAGCATCTCCACACCCGCGGGCGACACGGCCACCCGCCGCTCATTCTGATAGATCTCTTTAGGAATGCCCACCAGCACGTCTTTATATCGCACACCTGACACACACACAGACAGGAGGAAAACACCTACAGTAGGAACATCCCAGAACACCCTAGCAACTGCATAGCAACCACCTAATGTGCTAAAAACAACACCATGGCAACCACATAGCAACTCCTTGGAAACCACCCACAACTAGCATTGCAGTGTGCGTTTTGATGTCAAATATCACTCACGTTATTTTCAGAAAATGTAGAAATCTACTTAGAATTACTATAGACTAACTCAAACCTAAACCCTAACCATAAGTTTATATGAAAACATTTTTAAAAAGATAAATTACTCAGAAGCTCTGCGAAGCTGTTTTCAATGGAAGCATATTACAAAAAACATTTTAAAGATTTTTTTTTTTCTCACAATTCTGTCTTTTTTCCTTTGTAATTCTGAGTTTATATCTCACATTCAGTCTAAACTGCAAGATATAAACTCAGAATTGCTAGATATGAACTTGTAATTGCGATAAACTCAAAATTGCTAAATCTGAACTTAGAATCCTGAGATGCATTCAGAATTGTGATTAAACTCAGAACTGCAAGTTATGCATTAAGAATTGCAATAAACTCAGAATTGAACAACTCAAAACTGCGATAAACTCAGAATTGTGAGAAAAAACGTTGCAATTACGCCTACTTTTTTATTTCTTTTTATTCTGTGGTGGAAATAAGCTTCCATGGTTTTCAGTGAAGTGTGTGAATCCCACAATGCTCTTTTCCAGGTTTTACCATCTATTTCATAATGCAACAGTGGGAACATTGAGTACACACACAGACGGGCGGCGTTCAGGGCTGCTCAGCGTCACGGCGGATCAGCTAACACATTTCTCTCCATAATTGGCATCACAGCATCCAATCAGAGCGAGGCAGCAGACATTATTAGAAGCTCATTGGCAGAGATCCAGTGGAGTCGCACATGCATAAGCTAAAGGGAAGTGACATGTAATGATAAGGACACTTCACGAGGACATTGAGAGCGAAAGATCATCTCGATTTCACCTTTAAATGACCTCACTTATCTCCCCACAGAAAGATCCAGTCACATGTGATACACCGCTCAACACTTTCAGCTGAAAATAAGAAACTCTCTGAGAGCTCCTGCTGTAGTTTGACCTCACATGAACCGAGTTATAGATCGGAGGAGCCCGTCTCACCTTTAAGAGCCTGTTGATCATATAGAACAGGGAAGGTCTGGAAGAATCGTCTCCCCGGCCGCTGCACAGAGCAGCACGTCACGCAGCGCAGCAGACACGCCATGTCTCAGACGTCTGAGGAACAAAACACACAGTCTCAACCACACACACACACACACACACACTCGCTGTCAGACACAGACACGCATGTTCCAGCAGCGGCGAAGACACCTGCCACTCTCGGACCGCAACGCGAGATCACTGACCAGTGACGAGAGAACAGGGAAACACACACTCTCTCTCACACACACACACACTCACACACTCTCTCTCACACACACACACTGCACAGATCCTTACATGCATATATTTGTCTCTATATAATAATAAAATAATCTTTGTTAAGTATAAACAATAAACATTCCCAGAATAAAAATACACTGCTTTATCCAGTCAAACACAGATCTCTCTCATGACTCTGCTGACCTCCATCATAACCTGGATCTCATCACTGAAAATCCAAAATGTAGATGAGTTTTTTTTCTTCATGGGAACAGATTTGTAGAAATGTAGCATTGCATCCGTGTCTCAGCAATGGATGCTCTGCAGTGAATGGGTGCCGTCAGAATGAGAGTCCAAA